ACGGATTTGATTTGTGACGGGAAACGAAAGCACGGAGTTCAGGAAACTATCTTCCCTTCAAAATAAGAGCTTGGATTTTAAAGTTTTCCATGTAGTTGATCCAGTTGACCACTAGATGTCAGTCTAACCCCGTTGGCCGATTGCTTCGACCAATTACGTCAAGTATTGAGCTCCAGCATTTAAACTTTAAAAAAAAATTAATCAATACATACAAAATTTTATTATGGATTACAAACATTAACTGTTTTTGCTGGGAAAGGGAGTACTAAACACTGCCTTCCTGCTACGTAAGCAGACACAAAGCATTGTGGGAAATGAGAACCGTGACCCAAAGCAACAGTCAGCAGGATTTATACCTTCACAATAAGTGTGTTTATCTGGGAGGGGTGCTGTTGGATAGATCACATGTGTTGTGATTTATTGACAGTCATACCTTCTGCTGTTGAAGATAATAATGACTGGTAGATAATTAGTAATAGTGGTACTGCATTTTAATTTTAGAAAGTGCAAATCTGCTTATGAATTATAAAAATTAGTAAGACTGTTAAAGTGCAAATGAAATATTTAGGTCCGCAATTAGCGGATTTGCGCTTTAGCSGGCTGGTGCCCACCACTGAATATGTTTAATATTAAAGCTGCTGAAACATAAATCCTGATGTGTGGAGCTTCTTACAGCTTCTGACCATTAAARAAAACACGTTTTGGATTGTGACCCAGTGAAGGTTTTGAGCCAAGGGTTTCCAAAGTGAAGCTTGTGGGCTGTTTGTGACCCTCAGAGTGACTTTCTGCAGGGTCCCTGTACTTTTTGTTCATTTGATTTTAGTTTTAAAAACAAGTAACAAAAAACAGACTGTTTTTCATTTTTTATTTTGTACTATAAATAACAAAAAACAAACCAATGGAAACTTCATAGAAACTTTCCCATCCACATTGTGTGAATGTAACATTACAGTAAGATGAAGCATTTTCCAAGCAAAATCTCCTGATGCTCCTCTGGGAACACCTCCTCTCCATAACAATGGGAAGTAGCTGCAGAGATTGTCATAGAAGATGGTCCATTTCTCACCATGTACACTGTTTCTTCAGAATTTGGTTGTAAAGCCGTTCTAACAGCGCTGAAATCTGCAGACTGACGAGAGCGACACATCAAAGTGAGCAGAGCGCCTTGTATTTACCTGCAAAAATGAAAAGACGGTCTGTTTTCCGTTTTTGGAGTATAAAAAGAAAAAAACATCCGTTTTTTTGCAATATTGTTTTTTTAAAACAAAAACATAATCAGTTTTTAGATTTTTTTTTAAATATCTGTTTTTTTTTTCCATTTTCTTCCGCCTATCCGGGGTCGGGTCGCGGGGGCAGCAGCTTCAGAAGGGAGGCCCAGACCTCCCTCTCCCCAGCCACTTCTTCCAGCTCCTCCGGGGGAACTCCAAGGYGTTCCCAGGCCAGCCGAGAGACATAGTCCCTCCAGCGTGTCCTGGGTCTTCCTCGGGGCCTCCTCCCGGTGGGACGTGCCCGGAACACCTCACCAGGGAGACGTCCAGAAGGCATCCTTACCAGATGCCCGAGCCACCTCAACTGGCTCCTCTGGACGTGGAGGAGCAGCGGCTCTACTCTGAGTCCCTCCCGGATGACCGAGCTTCTCACCCTATCTCTAAGGGAGAGCCCAGCCACCCTGCGGAGGAAACCCATTTCGGCCGCTTGTATCCGGGACCTCGTTCTTTCGGTCATGACCCAAAGCTCATGACCATAGATGAGGGTAGGAACGTAGATCGACCGGTAAATTGAGAGCTTCGCTTTCTGACTCAGCTCTCTCTTCACCACGACGGACCGGTACAGCGCCCGCTTTACAGCAGACGCTGCGCCAATCCGCCTGTCGATCTCCCGCTCCCTTCTTCCCCCATTCGTGAACAAGATCCCCAGATACTTAAACTCCTCCACTTGAGACAGGACGACCCCCCTGACCCGGAGAAGGCACTCTGCCCTTTTCCGGCTCAAGACCATGGCCTCGGATTTGGAGGCGCTGGGCTTCATCCTGGCCGCTTCGCACTCGGCTGCGATTTTTTTTTGAATATCTGCCTTTAAAATGAAAAAACAAATAACCCTCCGGTTTTCATTATTTGTTTTTAAAACAAAAATCGACGAGCCCTGCGGCCTGAAACTGTGATTAAAGACAGTTATCATGTGAACACACAGGCTGCTGCAGATAAAACACCTCAGACACAATTTCAAGATGAGTCTAGTTATTTATTTTTCTTAAATAAATACTAGGTTATGCAGAAAAACAGTCAATGGCAAGTTTATTTATGTAGCCTTTTACATTTCAAAGTTTCATTGAAACAAAAGTGAAAATAAAAAGTCTAAACAAACCAAAGAACCATCAGCTCTGATGTCTCGAGTCAAAACAAGAGAGGAGTCTCACTTCAAAAAGCTTCAGTGAATCATTCTGCTTCCATCGACWCGAAGCTTCAGCTTCTCTAAGACTAAAACAAAGAACAGGACACCTTCTTTAAATCAGCTGCAAAGCTTTAATTCAAACTCCAGGTTGCTCAGTTTAACACTCAGGATTGTTTTCAAAGACACATTCCACGTCCGCGAGCCGTTTTCCCGCCGTGCAGGTGAACAGCCGAGGTTCTGTGTTCGGGCCGGGCCGAGCAGACACAACATGCGGGCCTGTTTACGTTCTCCCTGTTCAGGCAGGATGCTCCGGCGTCTCGGGGACGATTCAGCATCTATTCGTGGAGAGGAGAGCGACCCGAACCTCCGAGTGCCGAGGGGGGGGACGGGGGCAGGATGTTCCAAATCCAGCCTGATTACTCAGCTGCCTCCAACAATGGGTCCACGTTCAGGGAGTCGCTTCGTAAAGAGAGCGCCGAGGATATTTTCAGCATCGTTAAGAGAATACGAGGAGACTTCCTTCACACCACACTGAGAAACCATTTAGTGTCATTCAGGAGGATATTTTTCACTCTACCAGCTGCAGACCCATGAAGCTGGCAGCTGGACGCTTTTTCCAAGGATGTCCTGAAGTTCTGATGTGTGACCTTAGAAAACCCACAAGATGAAAACAAACATTCAAAACCAAGCAGCTGCAGGTTGGAGGTGCTGAAAAACATGCCTGTTYGTTCTATAAAAACAAACAAAACATTTTTTATTTGAAGTGGGGTTGTGTGGAGAGGGTACGAGCAGTCAGTATCTAACCTGCTCTAGTCTTTTTGAAAAAACAGGATGGTTCTACGCTAACAGCTGGTCCAAGCAGAGCTGGGTCATGAAAGTAGGAACTACGTGTCCTGGGCTACACCTCAGCTAGCTGGTTTTTGTCTTATCAATTAGCATCTTGCTACTTTTAGTTAGCCTTTTGATAGTTTRAGCTCTTACATTTTGCTACTTGTACAACATTGGTTAGTTATTTGTTACTTGTTGCCTTTAGCTAGCCCTTTGCATKTAGTTAACATTTTGTTACTTTTAGCTAGCATCTTGCTGTCAGCTAGCCTTTTGTTATATTTAACTAGCATCTTCTGCTTAAAGCTAGCCTCTTATTACTTTTAGCTAGTATCTTGCTGCATTAATCTAGCATMTTGTTGCCTTTAGCTAGCCTTTTGTTACTTTTTAGCTATTATTTTGTTWCTTTGAATAGCAACTTGCTGCTTTTAGCTAGACTTTTATTACTAATTAGCTAACATATTGCTGCTGTCAGCTAGCCTTTTGTTACTTTTAACTAGCATTTTGYTGCTTCATGTTGGCCTTTTATTGATTTTAGATAAGCTTTTACTTTTTAGCTACCATTTTGTTACATTTTGCTATCACCTTTCTGCTTTAAGCTAGCATCTTGTTGCTTTTAGCTAGCTTTTTATGCTTAAGAAGTCTTTTATTTGCATCTTTTTAAATAATTTTAGACTAGCCTTTTGCTGCAAGTTAGCTTTTAGCCTTGAGCTAATGCGTTGCTGCATTTTGTTTACATTTTGCTAGTTTAAGCTTTTAGSAAAYGTTTTGGTAGTTTAAGYTCTTAGGTAGYRTTTTGCTACTATACAGTTTTGGTTAGCTTTTTGGTAGTTTTAGTATCCATTTTGTTACATTTAGCCTTTAGAAAGCCTTTTCATTTTTGACTAGCCTTTTGCTATAATTAGCTTTTATCTTCAAACTTTCAGCCTTGAGTTAGTTGTTGGCTATTTCTAGTAGCATTCTTCCACATATTAGCGTTTTCCTACACTTAGCTTTCAGCTAGTGTTCTGTTATTTTAAGCTTCAACTCATATTACCTCGTTTTATCCAAATAAATGAGCTCTTTGCCTTTCATTTACCGTTTATTTTAGTTTATTTTTACACATTTCAGACATTTTGGGAAACAAAGACTAGAATTTTTATTTTTTTTTTAGCTATAAAAGCAGCTGCGAGTCCAAATGTGTCCCAAACATCTGCTGAAGCTCAGAGCTGAACAATGTCAGCTCTGAGTTTTTGCTCCCAGCAGGCAGAGTTCCTGCAGACGCCTCCGGACTCACTGATCTGAGATCGGTCGCCTCCTTCGGCCTCGACGTGCCTCCCACACAGATTGGCTTCCTCTGTGCTCACGTTTCCGGCCGCAGGACACAAATAACTACATGCAGCTCGCTGTAATGACACGGGCCGGACAGAAAGGCCTGGAATTATGGAGGGAGGTTTAAAAAGAGAAAAAAATCACTACTTTCATGTCGCCTGCTGGAGCCATCGAGCTTTTAAAGCTCTGGATGGGAACTCGGAGAACGTAAAACGTAAGGACATACGTGTAATAAAACCCCTCTCTCTGTCACACACAAATCTGTATTTTTGTTCTTATGAAGACTTCGTAGCCCTGACTCTAACCCTAATCATCAAATAACTCAGGTTTAGAGGTTTTAAGCTGAGTTGTGGTAGTAGCTGAGAGTTACAGCCAACCAAGAACAGGAATATTTCGTCTCTTCTCTCTAACAAACTAAAATGTGTCRGCGCCGCAGAGATGTCCCGGCGGGAACGATTACCTCAGCGGCCCGGTGGGAGTCGGAACAGGAAGCGGCGCGCCTCCGAACAGCAGGATAATTAATTACGCGTCGGCTCGAGGGAACCCTCTGCGTAAACGGCGCCCGGGTCCCTGTGAGGCGGCGCACTTCACACTTTTACTGCCGCTTTTTGTTCAGTGAGAGAAAACAAAAACATCCAGGTCTTGGATGGGAGGGACCACAGTCTAAACATTTATACATTTTTAAATAAGCTGAGTTTAATTGAATTTATAAGGGTTTTTAAGTGTTGCGACTGTCCTACATCAGGGTTAGTCARCTAATTTCTCCGGGGTTCACAGTTACTGCAGGTCAACAGCTGAGGGGCCAAACATCCAGTAATTAAAGTCATTATGTAAATAAATCAAGTATTAAAAAGATCTGTTACCTTTGAAATAGTTTATTTTTGCTGCATTTAATCATGATTACAACATACAGAACCCTGTAAAGGTAGTGATAATTAAACAATATAAAAAAACACATTTTACCTCCTATTTGAGACAAATTATTTTGACATCTCTGACTTGACAAATTTTCAAACCAATTTTATTTTCACTTTCATCATTTTATCTTCAACTGCCTGTAGTTTTAACTGTCTTGGATGTTCTTCTAAATGTTTTTTACCAGCTTGTAGCCAAGATTCTGATGTTTCTGTAGATACCAAACACGTATACGTCTAACTCAGGGGTCTGCAAAGTTTACAATCCAAAGAGACATTTCTGCCACTCAACGCACTAATAAAATGTGTCCAGAGCCGCAAAATAAGCTATAACTGTGATTATCAACTGGTGGTCCGCGGGTCTTTTTGAGGCCTTTTCAGGAACCTTTAC